CAGCAGCCGACCACCAAACGCGACTATGACCTTTTTTCGGTGCAAGTTTGGCTCTGGGAAGTGCTTTGGAGCTTCTTCTCGGTCCATCCACTGGGCTGGTTGTCACTGGTTGTCATATAAAATCCATTCTTTGTCTCACGTCACAATACGATTGAGAAATGGTTCATTGTTGTGTGAAGTAAGAGAAGATGACACTTCAAAACGATGTTTTCAAAAAAAATTCTTGCTCAGCTCATGAGGCACCCACTAATTCAGCTTTTTCACCTTTCCAACTTGCTTCAAATGCTGAACAACCATAGAAAGGTCGACGATGAGTTCTTTGGCAACTTCTTATATAGTTGTAAGAGGATCAGCTTTGATGATTGCCCTCAGTTGGTCATTGTCAGCTTCTGATGGCCAACCACTATGCTCCTCATCTTCAAGGCTCTTGTCTCCTTTGTAAAACTTCTTGAACCATCACTATACTGTATGTTTGTTAGCAGTTCGTGGGGCAAATGCATTGTTGATGTTGCATGTTGTTTCCACTGCCTTACGACCCATTTTTGAACTCAAGAAAATCACTCAAATTTGCTTTTTGTCTAACATTTCCATAGTCTAAAATAAATTTTAAGCAAACAACAAGTAATGTCATTAGCAAAAATAATAAAATGAGAAACACGCATTAAAATGATGTATAACATGACGACATTTAATAATGTATTTCAATATCAAACGGCAAATTCCAACAATGTAAAAACTGCAATTACATTTGCACCAAGCTAATACTTTGTTTAATTAGCATAGAATTGGTGGATTTTTAGGTAGCTGCCAATTCTTTTTGTAACTGTAACAAACAGTGAAGCTTGAACATCATTATATGCATACTTATGCTTACTTTGAAAAGGATAGGGTAATTTTCCGCCAAAAGCAAAAGGATAGGGTAATTTACCTCCAAAAATGTACTACTTTCTCTTCTCATCAATGTTTTAACCCACAGCTGTCAGTCTTGACTAATTAATTTTTAAATTATGAATATGCCTTTGAAACTAAACCAAAATTTGACAAGTAGTCATTTCTTAAAGGTCAGTTACAATGTAGAGTATAGAAATCATACCAAAAAACCTTTTCTGCTCTCATTCATTAAAATCCATTGTAGTTTGAATGAACCATTTACCCATGTGTGATTTTGTAACTACATGCATTATCTTTTGGAGGACACTAGTTCATTGAGTTATGCATGTATTTCAAATACTAACACATTTCACTACCCAACATTAAATCATAATAGCTAATATCACCATAGTTCTATCAGAACAAGTTTTTAAGTATTGGAAAACTGTCAAGTTCATCATAGCATATAAAAATTTTTACAAAATTCGAATTGCTTGAAAGCTTTAATTTTATTATTGGTAATAAATGTCAGGTTTTCTTGAAGTAAGAGTCTCTTCATTCATTCTTGAGAATGCTTTTTATTTATTTATTTTGCTTCATTGTACTCTTGAATAGCAAAGTTAAAAGTGAATGTTCTTGATTTGCTCTCAGTCGTTAATGGAAAGCATTCCGTCTTTCACCATTAAATGTGATGTTAGCTGGTAGTTTTTCCTGTATTCCCTTTATCAGATTTAGAAACCTTCTATTCCAAATTTTTGAGTGTTATATCAAATGCTTTCTTAGCACCCATTAAGATGGTCTTATGGTTTTTGCCATTTCTTCTGTTATTATGGTGAATTATATTGATGGATTTTAAAATATTAACCCAACTTTGTATTCCTGGATTAAAGCATTCTTAGCATGGTCTCTCATTCACTTACATATCTGTAATGCCCAACCCAGTCCCATAAAGTTATAGCATATGTTCAGTAAGTATTTGTTCAATTAATTAAGACAGTGAAATTCCTTAAATGGTTTTCCTGTTTTGGAAACTGTTGAAAACTTTTGAAAAAAACAGTCATTTTATAAACCAAAATACACTGCTGTCTGTCGTACTCAGAAGTCATTTCTCAACAACGTTAGCTATTGGGAATATAGATGGTGATTCAGAAGGAAGTAGAGAACCTTTTGACAGTCCTTTTTTTTTTCTTTTTGAGATGGAGTCTTGCTGTGTCAGCCAGGCTGGAGTGCAGTGGAGCAATCTTGACTCATTGCAACCTCCACCTCCTGGGTTCAAGCAGTTCTCCTGCCTCAGCCTCCCAAGTAGCTGGCATTACAGACGCGTGCCACCATGCCCAGCTGTTTTGTATTTTTAGTAGAGACAGGGTTTCACCACGTGGGCCAGGCTGGTTTCAAACTTCTGACCTCAAATGATCTACCCACCTCAGCCTCCCAAAGTGCTGGGATTACAGGCATGAGCCACCGCGCCCAGCCGACAGTCCTTTCATTGAAGAAGTTCAAAACCTTTTTATTTTTACATTTTGTATATAGTTCTACCAAGTTTTGATCTAGTTTCCATGCACCCTGCATATCAGAAGTAACAAACTGGAGTGGAATAAGTTATTAGACATTGTTAAATTGAGAGGATGTAAATTAATAACTTTCAGTGGCAGAGAGGGGGAAAAAGCATTATGGAAATAATTTTAAAAGCTTAGTAGCTGAGAGCCATTTGTAAATCTTAATTGCATCTCCAGCCTCTTAATGTATATAGCATTGTAAAAGCAGGATTTTAGAGTTGGAATAAACTTAACAAGCCTCTCATTCCCTGTTTCTGAACCTTTTCTCTGCCTTTACACATGTGAGGGGTAGATATGACAAATACATATAAGAGTGGCTGTGGTAGGAGTGGCTTTGATTCCTAGTAGCAGGAGGAGATGGGACAAGCATGTGTGATATGTGTGTGTTTGCAGGGGGTCCTGATATATACATATTGGGGTGTACAGAATCTCCGTTTCTGGGGAGGGCACCATGTATGCAGTTTGAATTTGTATCCATTCCTGCTATGATTACACTATCTCTTTTTTTTTTTTTTTTTTTGAGAAAGAATCTTGCTCTGTCACCCAGGCTGGAGTGCAGTGGCGTGATCTTGGCTCACTGCAACCTCCACCTCCTGGGTTCAAGCGATCCTCCTGCTTCAGCCTCCCGAGAAGCTGGGACTACAGTGATTACACTAGCTTACATTCCCACCTGTAGATGTTCTGCTGCCTCACTCATATTCATATCCAAGAAATACTTGTCTTATCCAAATCACTAATATTATTATAGATTAGTAAACTGAGGCCCACTTGAGAGACTGAATGACAAGCTAGCCACACAGCTGATGAATATTAGGTTAGACACTAAGAATGTAGTTGTCTTGATTTTTAGTTCATTGTTTTCTGTTCTGTCCTGCAATAATTTATATTCAAAATAATAGGGTAAATAATAAGAATGTTATATTTAAAAAAACTTTTTATTAAAAAGAATGAGAAGTTTTCATTAGATTTGTTTTCTCTTTCAATATATTGAAAAAAATCACTTGGAAGTAAAACTGAGACTTTTTTTTCATGCTAATAGATAAATGCAGTGTTAAGTTTCAAACTAAATAATAGAGAGGGAGACTGTCTAAAAGAAAATGATAGTTATTTAGGAGTGGGCATTACAGTGGGAATATACGTGAGTATATTCAGGGAGGTAAAGGAAGACAAAAATTTTTAAAGGAAAAATGAGGAGGGTCACCTAAGTTGTTTTGAGAGATTATCCTTGGCTACAAGGATCATTAACAAGAATGGCATCAGTCCATGGTTGGACAGGCAGTTCCTGGGCAGATGTCCTCGCAGAGTAATTTTTTGTAAGGTTGTGGTAGCTTTTGTTCCAGGTTGTGGTTTTTGCAGTCTTTTGTGATAGTTCTTGTTATCAGGCCTATATATGTGTGAGAACCCTCCCTTCATCTCCTTCCCTAGCTCTGTTTGTCAGGGTTTTAATACAAGTGACTCCGTTTTGATTCTGACAACTTCCATATAAAGTAAATTGATCACTTATATTTCAGTTTATTGGGAATCTGTTAGTTCTGAAAATAAAATACAGATGACTTCTGGGCATTCAGACTTCATATTTGGAGTTTGTATTATTCTATATAGCTTCATAATGAATTATTACTAGCTCTTACTGGCTTAAAATGAAAGACTTTACTATCTCACAATTTCTGTGGGTCAGGAATACACGCATGGCTTAGCTGGGTCTTCTGTTTAGAGTCTTACCATGTGGAAATTAAGGTGTAAGCCTGGACTACAATCTTACATGAGCCTCAGTACTCTCTTCCAAGTTCACTGGTTCTTTCAGAATTCAGTTCCTCATGGCAATAGAACTGTGGCCCTTACTTCCTCGAGGATTCCTATCTGGCATGTGGCTCGCTCCACAGCATGGTGGTTTGCTACTTTAAGGCCAGCAGGAGAGTTTCTCTGCTGTTTCCAATATCTCTGACTTCTAGACCATCTTTTTAAAGGCTCACCTGAATAGGTCAGGTCCACCAGGATTCTCTTCCTTTTGATCAACTTACAGTCAACTGATAGGAGCCTTGATTACATCTGCCATATAAGTTAGCCTGGTCACAATAGTGAGATCCTAGGAATCCTGCCCACTTTCAAGGGGAGGCGTTTATACAAGGTGTATAAACCAGAGGATGGGAATCTTGACAGTGGTGATCTTAGCAGTATGCCTACCACAGGGTTATTAAAGCCAGTAGCGACTCTCTTGTTCAATAGAACTGGAATCTTTTAACTGTATGCTAAACGTTTCTCCAGGCTATGGAAATATAAAGCTAAAAAGCCCAGCTTTTGTCCAGTAGTAAGGTGGTAGAGAGAAAGAATGAAGTACTGTTTATGATGTAATTCAGTCACCCAGCTGCAATAGAGGTGTATCCAGGCTACAGTGTGAACATCAAAGAGAAGGTATTGGGAGGTGGGGAGGTTTGGTCAGGAAAAGTTATGTATTTGGAAAAAGTGATAGTACTGCTTTAGTTCTTGAAACTAAATTTTAAAACCAGTTTTTAAGAGGAAAACCTTAGTATTTAAGATGATGAAATTATTAAATGAGTATTTCTTTTCCCCCAGATGGTATACCTCAAGTTTACTATTTCGGCCCTTGTGGTAAATACAATGCTATGGTGCTGGAACTACTGGGACCTAGTTTGGAAGACTTGTTTGACTTGTGTGACAGAACATTTTCTCTTAAAACAGTTCTCATGATAGCTATACAACTGGTAAGTAAAATAGGGTATTTGAAGTTGTTTGAACGATTACATGGTTGTTGGTCACAAATTCATATTAAAAGTTTAAAGTTCTGTGATATTGTCTTACAGAGCATTTGACCTAATACAAATGTTTCTACTTTTCATACTGTCTTTCTGGGATCCATGTAACTTAAAATAACTGAGTCAAGTATATTTTATTTGTATGAAAACTAATATAATAATTGCTTTAAGATCAAAATGCTCAGTTTGATAATTGTCACTAGCCATTTCTTCATATAAAAGATGAATACTTAAAAAGAGAACCTCAGAAACATAGATTTTTTTTTCTTTTTTTTTTTTTTTTGAGATAGAGTCTTGCTTTGTTGCCCAGGCTGGAGAGCAGTGGTGAGATCTCAGCTTACTGTAACCTCTGCCTCCCAGGTTCAAGCTATTCTCCCGCCTCAGCCTCCCGAGGCTGTAGTCCCGAGTAGCTGGGACTACAGGTGCGTGCCACCACACCCAGCCAATTTTTTTGTATTTTTTGTAGAGATGGGGTTTCACCATGTTAGTCAGGATGGTCTCGATCTGACCTTGTAATCCACCTGCCTTGGCCTTCCAAAGTGCTGGGATTATAGGCGTGAGCCACCATGCCCGGCCAGAAACATGGATTCTTAATTTTGGTAATAGACTTTATGACCTGGAAAAACAAGCGGCAAACTAATGAATTAGAGAGTCTTGATAAACTACTTAGACTTCAGGGAATCCATTGGATAACAATTAGAGAATGTTTTAGGGCAGTTTTGAAATAAATGCCAACAGAAGTGTGCTGCAGAAGTCTTAAAATTATTTTTATTCATTGACTCATTAATTCTACTTCTACAAATTTGTCCTGTGGATGTTTTCACAGGTGCTTAAAGCTTTATATGAAAGGATGTTTATAACAAAAAAATGAGAAGCAACCCAAATGTGCAGAAATAACAGGGTTAGTTGAATAAATTAATAGCCAGAGGAAAATATGCAGCTATTAAAAAGTGCGCATTAAAGATTGTTTCATAGGCTAAGTGTGGTGGCTTGTGCCTATAATTCCAGTGCTTTGGGAGGCTGAGGCTAGAGGATCACTTGAGCCCAGGAGTTCAAGATCAATCTGGGCAACTTAGTGTGACTCCATCTCTACAAAAAATTTAAAAAAAAAAAAAAAAAAGCCGAGTGTGGTGGTGTGCTTGTGTAGTCCCAGCTGCTGAGGAGGTTGAGGCAGGAGGATTGCTTGAACCCAGAGGTTGAAGGTTGAAGCTGCAGCGAGCTATGCATTCCAGCCTGGGTGGCAGAGTGTGGGATCCTGTCCTCTCCTCCCCCCACCCCGCCCCGCCCACCACACACCAAACACCAAAAAACCAAACAACTCCCCCAAACAAAACAAAGAATATTTCATGACCTTGAAAATGCTCATATCATTAAGAATCTATAGACATAGAATACTGTATATTGTATGCTGCAAAGTTTGTTAAGCAAACGAAAATGACCTATGTAACCATATGTTTACATTGCATTGTTAACCATGATTATCACTAAGTGAAGCAGTTTTATTTTCTTATTTGTAATACTCTGTTTTATGACAGTTTGTCCAATGAACATTGAGAATTTGTAAAATAATTAATAAAAATGAGCTATATAATATTAGAGTTGGATTCCAGACTTTTCTAGCTTTAAGATCTTTCTAACTTTAAGATTAATCATTTTTAAATGTTTAATACCTAGGAAAAAGTAAGGGAAACATGTTATGAAAAAGAAAAAGATACTGAATAGTGCTGTTGTTTTTATACTTGTAAAAGTTGCTTGGTTATTGAGTTGATAAGGAAGACTATATTGCAACGTTTTGCATATGTCTGCTTATACTTTTGAGTTCAAGGTCTTGTATCAATATGACTTTTTGATTTTATGAAGTAGCATCCTCTGAAAGTGTTGATTGAATCAGACTTACTGATATGAAAGGAATTCATAAAATTCAAATACTTTTGTTTAGCAGTGACCATAATAGTAAAGGCAAAGATTTTAAATTGTAATTTGCTATATGTATTTGAAGAACGATGGGCTGACATCATTTTACTTTTAAAGGGTTGAAACAATTTCTGATTTATTCCTTTTGTATGTTTTCATTCTGTCTTGCCTTTATCATACTTGCTTAGGCTAGTCAAAGCCCAAAATAAAACTGCTCTTCTTTTTTTCTTAAACTAAGATTTCTCGCATGGAATATGTCCATTCAAAGAACTTGATATACAGAGATGTAAAACCTGAGAACTTCTTAATAGGACGACCAGGAAACAAAACCCAGCAAGTTATTCACATTATAGATTTTGGTTTGGCAAAGGAATATATTGATCCAGAGACAAAGAAACACATACCATACAGAGAACACAAGAGCCTTACAGGAACAGCTAGATATATGAGCATAAACACACATTTAGGAAAAGGTATGTGTACCTTTCGTAAGTATGGAAGTTTGAATTCAGCAGCTATGCTAACACTGTGCGTTTTTATTTGTTATGGTTCAGTTTTTGAGATTACAATAGCTTTTATTATAATTTTCACTTATCAGATCTACCTAGAGTTTACTTTCACTTATATTTTAATAAAACGCTTAGAAAGTAAGTTACTATAGAGTAAATGATTGACAGCTATCTTTACATTCACTGTATTTTTTGTATTTATATAACTTGAAGTGTGCATCTTTGATACAGTTATGGGGATTCTTTTAATTATTTCTCTTACAAAATATGAGAGAATACCAAATTTTAACTGAATTTAATGCATGTGGAAATATTGGATTGAGACTATAGCTCTCCAGTATGGCTAGCCACAGAAATAGCAACTAGCCTAATAAGTACATGACCTTAGAGGTGGGCAGAGCTGGCTTACCTGTATGCTAACTGTGACTTCGGACAAGTTTAACCGTTTTAAGGGGTTTCTTATTGGTAAAAAGAGTAAAACAATATCAACTTCGCAGGATTTTTTTATAGCATTCCTCCTTCACCCAGGTTCATATTTATCATATCCCTTAAATCATTTTCATCTGAAACAGTTCCTCAGTCGTTCTTTATGGCTCATGACCTTAATATTTTTTAGGAGCTCAGGCTATTTTATAGGATATCTCCAATTTGGGTCTGTTATTTCTTTTTGACTAGATTTGGGTAGGCATTTTGAGCACAAATATCACAGAAGTAATGTGTTCTTAGTGCATCAGTTTGGGATTGCTTGCTTGGGTGATATCTGCCAAATTTCTCTACTGAAAAGTTTCTTGTAGTTAGATTTTGGGATTATGTAAACATGTTCCTCATCAGATTTTTACCCTCTAGATTTAGCATCCATTGATGATTTTCTAACTCTATTATTTCTAATGTTTATATTTCCTTATTTGTCAGTTGATATTCTAATGTAAGCAGAAGCCTTCCCTTGTCCCCAAGTTATTGACTTACGTCTATATGAACTTATTAATTCTTACCTTATTTAATGTAATGTATTGAATGCATTATTATTTATTTTGATAGCCAAAGGGTTCCAGATGTGGCCACTGGTTGCCCCTTCAAGCTGGCTTCTCTGTCCTTTTGACATGTTCTCATGAATCTTTGAGTTCTTTCTTTCTGGTACAGCAAGTTCTTATAAATAAACTCATCTTGCAGTTTCTCTTCTGCAGCCCCATAATCAGTCCTTTTCTCCAAGAAGTTCTGAATCCTTTTATTGGATAATGGTATTTAGAAACCAAGATTTGGCCACTGGATATGCTCATTACTGTGGTATGTTGTTACTGCCAGGCCCTTTCTGCAGCAGAACTAGGAAATGTTTGTGCGTGTATGTATATACATACACACATAGAAATATGCCTATATATGTGTGTGTGTGACACACATACATTAATATCTGTTAAAAACTTTGAGTTTACACTGATACACTTTTAATTTCAGTCTGTCAGTACAAAATAGTATTTCCTTTTTCTATATTTGTAATTCCCATCCCTTTTCCATATTTGTATCTTTTTTTTTAACCAACAGTGAGAAATCTGGCTATCACTACTCATAATATATTTACTTGTTTTTAAAAGCTGAGGATACTCAGAAAGTAGTTTCAGATTGCCAAGTGATACCACTTTATATAGCAAGTCTAATAGAATTATAGCATTTGTAATTCTTATTTTATTGAAGAGTTTTTATTTGAAGTAAAATTTACATTGGGTAAAGTATACAACATTTGATTATATAAATTTGTGAGTATTAATGAATGTGCACACTATGTAATCCACAGCACTATCGAGATTTAGAACACTTTCATTATCCTATAGACTTCCATTTTACCCATCTTAGTCATTCCCCTCCTTTTCTAGAAGCAATCACCAATCTGATTTGTATCACAACAGTTGAGTTTTGCTGATTCTATTACTTCATGTAAATAGAATCATCCAACTTATTTTGGTTGGTATAATGTCTTTAAGATTCATCTATGTTTTTGCAAATATCAGTAGTTTATTCTTTTTTAATGCTAAGTAATATTCCATTGCATAAACATAGCACCGACTGCTTATCCATTTGAATGTTGATGGATATTTGGGTTAAGTTTTTGACTTATAAATAAACTTGTATAATATTCTTACAAATCTTTTTGTGGGCATATTTTTCAGTTTGGTCCTATGGCAGGTATTATTTAACTTTATAAGAAACTGCCTGTCTGTTCTGGGGAGTGTTCATACCTTTTTTTATTTCCACGAATAATGAATGAGAATTTTGTTTGTTTCATATTCTTGACAACGTTTAGAGTTTGTCAGTCTTTTTCATTGTAGCTATTCTAGTGGCCAAGGGGTGGTCTTTTAATTCCTTGTGATTATTGTTTCTGAGATCTGTTTCATGTATTTATTGGCTATTTGTATATCTTCTTTTGAGAAGTGTGTGTCATTTCATTGTTAATTTATAGAGTTCTTTATATATTCTGGGTATGATTATTTTGTCATATATATACATTGTGAATAATTTCTTCCACTCTTGGCTTGCTCCTATTCATTTTCTTAATGGTATCTTTTGATGAGCAGAACTGTTAAGTATTTATGAAGTCTAGTTTATCCATTTTTTTGTTTATGGTTATTGCCTTTTGAATTCTAACAAATCTTTACCTTCATGTGATAAAGTGAACAAATCTTTACCTTCATTACATTTTTTTTTTTTTTTTTTTGAGACGGAGTCTTGCTCTGTCACCCAGGCTGGAGTGCAGTGGCCGGATCTCAGCTCACTGCAAGCTCCGCCTCCCGGGTTTACGCCGTTCTCCTGCCTCAGTCTCCCGAGTAGCTGGGACTACAGGCGCCCGCCACCTCGCCCGGCTAGTTTTCTTTTTTTTTTTTTTTTTTGTATTTTTTAGTAGAAACGGGGTTTCACCGTGTTAGCCGGGATCGTCTCTCGATCTCCTGGCCTCGTGATCCGCCCGTCTCGGCCTCCCAAAGTGCTGGGATTACAGGCTTGAGCCACCGCGCCCGGCCTACCTTCATTACATTTTATGCTTTCTTCTAGAAGCTTTATAGTTTTAGCTTTTTATATCTGTGATCCATCAGAATTGATTTTTTATATCGTGTGAGATAGGGGATGCGGTTCTTTCTATGATATATTCTTTCCTATTGAATTACTTTTGTTTCTTAAAAAGTCACTTCTAGATTATATTTGCCACATTCAGTATTCATATCAGAGAAAGTACAAACTTAATTATCTGCTTTTAGATATTGTTCTGCTTTCAGTTACTGTTAAACATCTCACAACAGATAGACAGAAATGTGAACCAATCAATATATATCCATCACTGCTGCTCAAAAGGACCTTCAGATATGCTATCACAGATTTGGACAGGATCTTGGAAGTCGTCTAATCCAACTTTCAGATCCCGATCTTAGCTTTTTCTCTAACCATTCTCCTCAGCCTTAGCTACTCTATAGAGCATGTCCCTGCTCTGTCTCTCAATCATAGCTCAATAGGATGTGACATCTTTCCTGACAGCGGACCTGACTGTAGGCTTATGGTATTTTTTGTTTTCAGACATCTGAAATGCCTGAGAAATGTAAATTTACTGTTTTTTTTTTTTTTTAAGAAAAGTAAGTTTCAAATATTTAAAATTTAAAAACACGAGTTTTATTCAGTTAATATGTTCAGGGAGTAGCTTTCAATAGCTGACTTTCCTGATAGATTTAAAAATATGATTGGGTAGCTATACAACTTTTGGGATTGTGACTTCTATTAAAACCAGGCACACTTTATTTACATGTGCAGTGACTGTGAGAAATTTTCATTTTACGGGAGTTGTTAGCAGACTATAACAACTAACAAAGGTTCACCACTATTTTATTGTGAGACATGAAGTCACAACTTCCTTAGGGCCTAATGTTCCTTATCTGAACAATGGTAAATGTAACAGCATTCTATTTGTAGAAATGGCAAAGTGAGTGTGATTTGTTTGTCATTGTTAGGAAAAGTCATCAGTACCTGGGAAATGAGATTTAACTATTATAATAATCTCTCTTTACTCCTCTTTCAGGAATAAAACAAAAATTTATTTATTTAGCAAACAGTGAATGTTTAATGTTTACTTTTCCCCATTTATAAACACCCTCAGTTTTCATGTAAAACTCAGGAGTAGGTGGGTAATATTAACAGATAAAAAATTTTGTGTCTAAAATTACACGAATTCCTATTTAAAAATTAAGAGTAAGCTAAGGTAATACGAATTTGGATGCTGAGGAATTAAAACATTTGGTAAATTGTGATGCCTTTGGACATGGAATACATAGTGGTGTTTTCAGTTTAGAGTACTTGGTTTTGTGAGGAGTCAGGAAGAGATAAAGAAGGAAAAGGAGCAGAGAAAACATGACTTTTTAATGTGATTTTAATTTGTGCATATCTTATTTCTGCCCTCCCTGCTTTGCCTGGATCTTGGTGATTACTTTTAAAGCCTTATTCATTCACCCATCTTTCCATCCATTCATTCATTCTTAGGCACTCAAGGACTTCTTGCTCACATGAACTTTTCAAAATAGAGAGTTTGGTCAAAGGAACATTATATGGGTTTGTAAGTATTTTTCCTTTTTGGAGACTGACACTATCTTAGACTTAAAAAGGAAAAAGATGTTCCTAATAGAATAATATAGAAGAATAGTGTAAAATCACATAATAGGAATTAACATTTTATTCTTGTAGTATCTGTTGATCTTAACTAGGTGATTTATGTTCAGAAGGCAGACATTGCAGTTCACATTTATACCTTTCTTATATCTGCTTAAGTCTCTGTCCAAGATGCAGTCTTGATAATGCTTTGTGTTACAGATGTGGATTTCCATGGTGTCCTTTCATGAAAACTTTCTTTAGTGTTGTCATATTGAATTATTTTTGTGTTACATCTGATCATGTGTCTACTTTTTAATGTCTTTTTAAAGACTTTTGTCAGCTGCCTT